CTATATATGTATGTATGTATACTGTATGTATGTATTGTACATACATTGTATGTATGTATGTACTGTATTGTATGTATGAGCATTGTATGTATGAGCAAATGCACATCATTAATAGATAAATTTTATTGAGGAAGTTTAGAATCATAATTTGACTTTTTTATTCAATGTTTTTAAATATTTTTTTGAATTTTTATTTTTACTTTTTTTTTTACTATACTAAATAAGTTTTGACAAAATTAGTTTAGTAAATAATATATATTTTTTTCTCTATTGGCCAGTGGCAAACGTTGGTCAATAAAAAAATGTTGGTTTTTATTTTAATATATTCTATTTTTGCCGGAACAATGAATAAATAGGGGGAGGAGGTCCTAATAAATTTAGGTTGAGTAGGAAAATTTTCCAAAAATTATTTAACAGCAACTTCTGTGTATTAAGCACTTACAAGTACTACCTTATTTTGCCTTTCATTTTTATAATTGTTCATGTTTCATAAATGTTTTATAACTTACAAATTTAAGTTAATTTGACCACGTTTTTTTTTTTTGTTATGAAAAAACCTCTCCAGTTCTTTGTAACAACTTTAACTAAACTATTCAGGAAAAAGTTTGAATAATCATATCTTTGAAACCATTTGGAATATTGTTTGGAATTATTTCTTTAATTAATTAATCGATCTGGAATAAATCTAGGTGTGTCAGTCCATCTTCTTTGCTTTTTGTAGGCGGTTTTGCTTCACTTTTTTATAAGCTGAATTTTGATATTCTTTTATTCAGCATCTGCTTTCATTATATAGTAAATGAAATAAGCCAGGTCTTGGTCAAAAATATCCAGATCAGAAAAATGATGTCACAAAGTAAGCAAGCAATTTTAATTCCTTTTGTGACAGATCTATAATTACTCTTTTGAAAACGGTATAAGTTTGCCTTTGTAATTGATTGGATACACTTAACTTCAATAGTTCATCTTTAATCCAAAAACTAACTAAAGCAAATATTTGTTCTCATTCGTTTTCATCAGGCGGTCAGAAAATTAATTATTTTGTACTTCTTTGCTTCTAAAACAAACTAGTTTTGGTGTTCTTAAGTTATCTAGTTTACAGTCAAAGTAGTTTACAATCAATCCTGTATAAATAAGAATTAAAACAGTGGCCAGGTGAACTTAATTATGCAAAATAAAAGATTTTATCCCAGTATCTAATAGCATAGTTCAAAGTAGACTAGTAGTATTTAGGTTAACACCATCTCAATTTTGTTATAGTAAATATAGTATTTTAGATTTCTATTCACATAAATAGGTGAGGTTTAAGCTAAATCACAGTTTAAATCTACATTGTCTTTGGTACAATAATGTATATGGAATTAATATCAACAATCAATAAAACAAAAACCTAAGTAAATTAAAATTTCAAATAAAAAGCAAATCTGCTTTTGTCTAAATTTGATTTGAGATTTAATTTAAAACTGATAAGATTAATCACAGTTTAAGAGTTCACCATTTCAGTTTACTAAGTTACGAGAAAGTGTTTTAAATTGTAATAGTTATAAAACTAAAAAGAAAACAAATCTAACAAATATAATGTTACTAAAATATATTGTAACTAAGTAGAGAATAGATTTAATTTCACTATATATTTATTCTGATATTGTCGTAATAATAATTGTATAAATAATTTTTATTGTGTAAAATATTACTCAATTTCCAAGTTATTTTCTAGTTATTCTGATTTTAAAATCACAAGGCACAGATTTTTTTAGATGTTTTTAAGTTAGCTTACTTTTACTTTAGGTTTTTTTAAAACGCTTTTTTGTTCATCTACAAGTTATATGGCTTTTTTTTATGCACCAAAAAACAACTTGATGAAATTATTTGTAAATTATCATTCTTTTCAAAGAAAAGCAGTTATTATTTTTATTAGTACTATTATTATTTGTAGTTTTCCTCAAGCAGAGATAAATACCTTTGTAAAGAAATTTTGTTTTTAAATTAACTTGTGTTTGCCTTGACCAGATCTCAATTTGTGTGTCTTAAATAAAAGTTTTGAATCTGATCACAAACCATCATTTGCAAAAGATAACACAAGTGCATCATAGTTCAGATAAATTATTCTCAATGAATTTGTATAATAGTTGAAATTTATTAATTTTATTTTTTTTAGCAATTAAGACAAAAGGTTATTTTATTGGATAAGGTTAGTTTATTAATTCAATTAGTGAAGCAATTTATGGACCATGAATTAATTTGGATATAAATTCTCATCCAACTTGAATTTATAGAGGATGCAAGACAAAATCATACTTTTGAACAGAATTGTAAGGCCTTCAGTAAAGATTTAGCTTTACTGATAACTTAACTAGATGATTTGTTTTTTGAATGATTGTTGTCAAAATAAAAAGTGAAGTAGAATGAAACAAGAAGATCTGCTCTTGTGGTATATGCTCCGTCGAACAAGGATAAATACATCCATTTTTTTATTGTTTTAATTTTCTATAAAAGCTTTGATCTTCAAAAAAGTAATTAATTTTAATTATTTTTTTGAAGATCAAAGCTTTTATAGAAAATACTATTATTTTAAAATTAGTGAATTTTTTATACTTTTTAAGCAAAAATTTTTTTTTCTCAATCTCTTGTTTGTCACGTGTTTAACAAAAAAAACAACGTCTCTAAGCAAAAATAAAATTAGGCAAAAGAAAGTTATTTTGTGAAAGATATGGTTTATAACTGATATAAATATAAGTTTACATAATATAAAGTTTATATAATATAATTATATAATATAAAGTTTATATATATAAACATAACAAGACAAATGTCTTGTTACGTTAATATAATGAGAAATTTTTAATAAAATTAGTTATATTATTTAATTTTTATTCGGTTTATTGTTTATTTATATGTATACTGATATTAATTTACAAACTAATATATAATAATATGTATACTAATATTAATTAACACATTACAAACTCTGTTTAAAAAACATGCGTTTCACTATTTTTTTTTTTTTTTTTTTTTGTGGTTTTTTCATCTGGTTTATTATTACGTTATATTTAGATTACGCTAAGTTTAAATTACGTTTATAACGTCAGAAAAAATAACAGTAACTAAATTTTTTTTTATTACTTTTATTTTTCGTTTTATTTATTTCACATCATTATACTTAATAGAATTAATAGTTTATTTTCTGTATAAAATAATGTATAATTTATTATTCGACGTGTTATCAAGCTTAAAAGGTGATCTAAACGTTTTTTTTTTTTGTGAACTCACAAATACTTTCATTTTAAACGGTTGCGATAGTTACGATATAATTCTATAAAACTAAGCGGTTGGTTTAAATTTTTTGTTCGAATTTGTGAAAAGATTTTTATGAAGTTCGATCATCGAGTTTTATGTATATAAAACCAAACGTTTTGTTTTTTTTTGAAAAAAGTACGAAATTATTCTGTTACCATTGTTTATTAAACTTCACACTGGTCACAAATACTTTTAAAAATGCGTAAGTAAGTATTCTTCAGTTTTATATTCGTTTATTTGTTTTTATTAAAAAAGTTTTTGTTTTAAAACAGAATTTATATTGTTACATAACCTTAACTTACGACGACTGTTTTTCGTGTAAATTTGATGATAATAAGTATTTTTTTATTGTTGATATATTAGTTAAATTATATTATAAATATTCAAGATTAAGGTGCTAAAATGTGTAAACCTTTAAATTTAATGTAACATTTTTTATAATATTTTGATTTCTATCTTTAAGCTTATTTTTTTAAATATAATATAGCAAATAGATACGTGTTTTTATAATGTTCAAACTTTTTTTATATTTAATCTCTTGGAAATGCGATAATTGAGTTTGAAAGAGTGAGTTTTTTTTTATGGAAAGGTAAATCGAAAATAGATTTAGAATATTATAAATTAAGATTTAGAAAATATGTTAAAAAATAAATCAACTTGCCTTCAAAATGTTAGTGGTGCAAAAAAAAAAAATGCATATTTATAAACCTTGAAAAAAATTCTTTTATGAAGTATAAGGTAAGACCTTCGTCACAAAAACTCTACGCTACAAAAAATATATTTTCATCGCGTAGAATTTATTGATTTACAAATTTTATACTTTAAAAAATGTTTGGCATGCTTTAGTATGCAAAAAAACTAGTACAGTATGATAATGGTATGTAAGTACCTATGCCATACTAATTTTAAAACATACTGAGCTATTATTTAATTGCATTTTTACCCGTTTATTTTTAATCGTTCGTCTAAGTTTGATATTTTAGAAAAAACCTGTTTCTTTTGCTAAAAGTTTCAGAGAAATATGATTTACATGAAACAATTGTGAATGAGGAATTATTTTCTTGTTTGCGTTGAAATGATTGTTTCATGGATTTAATTTTTACTTTTTAAACAAAATGTCGTTTGATGTGATGTTATTGTAATTTTTAAATTCAATCGGTTTATCTTATGTTTGTTGCTTGTTTTTATATATTATATATATTACATTTTGTAGCTTTAATGATGAAATTATGTTGATTTTGATGTGTAAATGTCTCATGATTATGAATCTTTTATGTGTGTGAACAACCGTTCTAATTTTTGTTATGTTATTTTAAATATGTTTAATTTATAACTTATATTAAAATTATTTTGTTTTAGAAATATGATGAATTAACAAAATTAAAAAATTGTCTTTTTTATTATATTTTATATTACATTTTTATATATATTTATTTTTCATATGAATTATTTTATCTAAAGGTTTCACACTTTTATTATTTTTTTATATCTTTTTAATTTAATATAAATTTATGTATATAATATTATTGTATAAAATATAGTCTATTTAATAAAAAAAAAAAATTGTATGTTTTTTATTCAATCATTAGTTAATAAAAATTATATGTATGAATATGTAGAATATTATAATGTATATAATTTTATAATTTTGATTATTATTTTTATTATTTGTTCATTTTTATAATTAATATTTATTTTTACTTTAGATCGTCTAAGTAAAAGTGATTACTATAAAGATTACAAATTATTCATTGAATGTTTTTATGAAAGTCAATCATCATTTAATGATGAAATTAAATCAATTGTTTTTCGACGATCAATTGTTGATGAACGAGGAGAGAAAGTTGTGGATTTCGATTCACGATGGAATAACTTCTTACTTTACTTCTTGCGAAAATTATTTCATAAATCATTACGTAAAATCTGGAAGAAAGTTATCGAGGTTACATGTTAATAAAATTATTTTAAGTGATGAAGAAAAAAAACTTTTAATACAATGTTCAACTAATGTTCGCAATGTCAACTTTTATCATGCAATTAATTTAGATGGATGGAAACCAAAAGATAAGATTGAAGAGTTGACGATATGGATCCCAAATTATTTAATAACAAAAAAAGATTTTGAAGAAAATTTTCTTCCGTGGATTAATCTCTGTGAAAACTTATATCTTTCACTTCACCACGACATTGATTTTATTAATGAATTTTATGAATGGATTCGTTGTTCGAATGTCAAGAAGTTTTGTATCGTGTACCGTGGAAAATATTTTAAAAACCTCGATGAATTAGAAAACTTTACAATACTTTAAAATATTTAATACCTTAAATATATTAAATAAAAACAATAACTATAAATAACTAATGAAATATTTAATGTATTATTTTATAATAAATACGTTTTTAAATATACAAATTAATTTTACTAGTTTATTAGATTTAATATTTAAAAGTTTAATTTTTTATTATTAAAATATTTTACAAATAATTCGTTTTCAAATATATTAATAGTTATAATTATGATATAAATTATTAAATATATTATTATAATATATAAATTTTCATATATATTATTATTAATAATAATATTATACTTGTAAAATTATAAATTACGTTACATGATTTATTGTTGTTTTTTTTAAATATTATATTTTCAGTTTTTAATTATTATGTTCTTAATATATAATTTTTTAAATAATATTGTTAATAAATATTTGTTTTAATAAATAATAAATGTTTGTTTGATATTTTACTTATATTAATTATTTTATGTTTTGTGATGTTTAAGAATTAAATAAAAATTCTAAATATGCAAATTAAAATAAAATGTTAATTTTTTTTATTTTATTAACAATTTCTTTTCAAATAATATCGTATTAAAGATAAAGTCATAAGTTTTTAAGTTGATTGAATTTTGAATAAAACAACTTTTTTTATTAGATTTGCACTTTTTATACACCTTTTACACAAATTAATGTTTACAAAAAAATAACTTTTTAAGGTTTTCGCCATTGTTTCTTGAAGAGATCAACAAAATAAAAAAATTCGTCGTCATCAAAAAAAAAATTCGATGGTTTAAGTAGAATTTTTCTTCGAAGATTTTTAGTTCGAAATTTCATATTTTATCTGACGTTTTTACTTAATTTTAAACCGACTTTAAATTTTACTTAAACGATCAAAATTTTTTATATAAAATGTTAATAAATATCGAAACAAATATTTTAAGTAAAAATACTTTTTTTTTAAATGGTTTTCAATTTTTTTGTAAAAAGTTTTGTTCTCTCTCTCCATAAGTAGCAGTTTTAAACCGTGATTTTAATTACCGAAAACTATAATATTTAGAAAATATAGTAAAAAAACAATGGAATAAATTAAACTACTTTTTAAGCTGGAAAGAATTAAATAAAAACCAACTAAACGTTTAATCTATTTTAGAAAAATTTAGTTTCAAGTTTAGACTAATAAACACCGCGTTTAAATGTTTCTAAAACCGCGAATGAAACTTTATTAAACGATCGTTATAAAAATTAAAGTTTTTTAAACAAAAAATAATTTGAGTACGCAAGTTTTGATTTTCAAAAGTTACGCGAACATTTTCAATGCCAAAGAGATTAATGTTGGTTATGTTACGTTAAGGCCATTTGTTAACAAAACTGCAGCTAGCAAGTACTGTGACAGTAAAACCAAAACTTTTTTGAACAAATTTAGTTATGTTGAATAACAACAATAAAAAATAAATGAATACTTTTTTATAATTTAAATATAAAAAACTATTTTAATTCAAAAATCTTTAAAATTCTGTTTTTAATGTAAGAAAAATTCTTGTTTTAAAATCTTTTTTAAATTTTGAAACTTATAAAAAAACATTAAAACAAACTATGTGGCTTAATGTATGGATATATTAAATTGCCGTTAACCAACCATGTCATGATTGTCGTTTATAATGGAACTTCAAAATTTGCCCCCCCCCCCCCCCGCAAAAGAATGTTTTTTTTGCGGAAAGACTTTTATAGTATAAATATTATTGAGAGCATAACTTTATTTACATGAGGGCCCCCTATAGCTGGTAGGCCCCACTTCCCCCGCAACGCAGGGTCCTGCGTCCAGTGGTTCCGCCACTGTAATGGCAGTTTAAATCGTGACATTAAACGCAAAAATAAGTTTTAAAGAACAAAGTAAACAAAAATAACTCTTGTAAACAAAATCAACTGTTGTTCATTTTTTAAAGGTTGTCGGTAAAATGCGAACCGCAAACTGCGGACCGGTAAAATGCGAACCAAAACCTTATATTTTAAAGACCATTATTGTTAACATAAAAATAATAATAAAAAAAACTCTCCAACTCTTAATTATTTATTTTAAAGCTTTATTTAAAATAAAATTTTTAGTTTTTAACTGTAAATCATGCGCGGAGTGTTGCCACATCGACTATCTTATAGCCTGATTCGCAATGGAGTGCTGCTACATCGACTGAGGGTTTGGTTTAGGCAGAGAGTCTATTAAATAATTAAAAAAAAATTGTATTGTATTTTTCTATTTTCTCTCAATTTCTTTTTATTTATTTTTAAATAATTTTTTCTCTTAAAAGTCCTTAAAATATATTAAAATATTCCGCTATAAAACATTACATTATTAACAACGATCGTTCGCAAAAAAGTTTGCATTTTACAAGTTCGCGGTTCGCAGTTCGCAATTTATCTAGGGGGCCATCCATAAAGGACGTCATCCAAATAGGGAGGGGGGAGCGGGTCGAGTTAAAAAAGACAAAAAAAGGACAAGGGGAGGGGGGAGGTTGTCAGAAAAGGACGTCACTTTATAGATATTTTAGTTTAGTTTAATTAACATGGAAAACTACGTAAACATGTGTTTTTATGAACATAATGTATGAGAATATTTTTAATTTTATTTTTCAAAGGTGTAGCAGTAGATTCAAACATCATTGCGAGATGAAATAAATTTTTTTGGAGTTAAAAATAGGGGGGGGGGGTTCAGGATTTTATGACGTCTTTTTCAAGGGGGGTTTAGGGAAAAAGGTCAACCTGTGACAAAGGGGGGGGGGTGGTCAAAAATTGGCTAAAATTGGTGACGTCCTTTATGGATGGCCCCTAGTACCATTTTTAACCCATTCGTGACGCGTGACCCGTAAGGCGGTTTATAATATTTCTAAACGACGAGTGACCCGCATGACGGTGCAAAAACAATTTTAAATATTTTTAAACATCTCTAGCAAATAGGAAAAACTTTAAAACTATCTTTGAATTGTGAATAATTTCTTTAGTTAATGCTTCAAACCGTTTCTTAATTGCATTTATAGATCGCTCAAAAATCAATTTTAAAAAATGACGAAGAACAGGGAAGGGGAAAGAGATACGAAAACTGACATCATATATAAGGAAAGGAGGAGAAATTGGCCAGAAAAATAACAGAGTTTGACAAGGGGAGGGGTGAAAAATTGTTAGAAATCTCATACATCATTTATGGAATGTATGCCTTAGAAAAAAAAAACAATTTTTAATACTTTTCAGTTTCGATATAATATAAAGCATTAAATTATTTAGTTTCCAAATTGCACGAAACTTCCAAATTAAATTTTACTATAAAAAAAACAATAGAACACGATAAAAGAAATTTTTTTTTTTATAGTCAAATTTTAAAAGTTTCTTTTTTTTCGTTTAAAACTTGAATAAATTTTAGGACTTCAACGTAAATTTATTCTCCTATTAAAAGTCATTCCATATTTTATGTTCTCGATAAGATATACAAAATTCTGAGAGTTTAGTTCATTTCGGGGGCAACGTTGTTTTTGCTATTTGATTTTAGATTACACTTTTCATTTATAATTATTTCAAACTTGTTGTTAAAGTTTGCTGGCAAAAGTATTATCTATACAAAGTTAGATTCCGATTAATTTTATTTCAAATATACCCATCATTTTCGTATTTTTCACAAGTGGTTTTGCATGTTCTCGTTTTTGTTTAAAGTATATGATACGTCAAGCGTGTTTTTGTAGCCTATACATTTTTAGACATTTTTTTGATTGCGCACTACCCCATTTTATATTTGCATAGTCAATAAACCCAAAATATTGACTATGCAAACATTTTATGTTTGCATAGTCAATATTTTGGGTTGGTTCAAACATTGAACCAACCCAAAATAATATATTTTGAGACTTAAAATATCGACATATGGTCGAACTCAATACATTACGCCAATAGTTTTGGTACTTTTTGACAGTTATTGACTGCAGATAATTTATATAGGGAAGTCAGAATAAATTATCGACTGCGCAAATTCCTTAAAATTTTATACTTAGTTGGTTTTTAATTATTATATCTTTTAAATGAATTTCGCGCAATTTAAGAGGAATGTTTAATTATTGTTGTTTTGCATGGAACAGAGTATAACCAATTAATAAAAAGTAATGATATGAATGATGTTGAATTTCTAATAAGTCTTTAGATTTTGAGTTTTCAATTTTTTTTATATTTTATTATTATCGAGTATGTAGGAGAAAGCGAGGCAACATAGCGAATAGGGCAAGATGAGTTTTCATATAACAATTCAACAAAAAATCAAAAATTTGGGTGAAAACTAAACTGAATTTGCATCTTGTATTTTAAAACACTAATTGGTTTTTTTAAATACTATTAATGCAAATTTATACACATTGTTTTACTATTTGCGCCTAAAAAAATTCCTCACTTTTGGTTTCACATAATGAATGGTGTCCTTCAAATTTACCTAGTTTAGAAGTAGTTTTATGCGACGTGTGTTTATTTTGTGTTACTTTAGTTAGAGTTAATGGTAGTTTTTAAAATGTTATAAAATTGGAGGCAAAAATTGCATAATAAGTCATCTTGCCTTGGTCAAGTGACCAGATGACAAATTCATGAAGTTTTTATTTTAATATTTATTTTAGATTGTTATATTTGCAAACTGAAAGTTCAAGTAGGTAATGAATCATTTTAATAACATAAACATATCAAGAAAGTATTATTGCTTCACAACTGATAGTTTTGAAATAACTCAGGGCTTTCAAAACGTTCGCCATGTTGCCCTGATTTCCCCTATTTACTTTTTTACAAAAAAAAAAATTATTAAAATATCAAGTTCATTCACAGTTTTACTATTTTAGAATAGTTTTGCAAAGTTACATTATTTAATCATTCTTACTTATTTTTTTACAGCGTAAACCCAGTTTCTTTTGGTATTTTGAGCAATTTTTATTTGATACCATAGCAATAAGCAACCATTTTACATATCTTTTTTTGATCGCCAGTAATAATAAAAGTTAGTCAATTTGTGTCGTTTTAAAACATGAGGGTAGTTGTTCCTTAAAAAAACACACGTTTGTAAAAGGTTCTAAT